ATAGATTAGTAGGATGTTAAAGTCAGAAATTAGCATGTAACTGGGAGATTAGCATGTAACTGGTCACGGAAGTAGCTATGTTAAAGTCAGAGTTTACATATCAATAGAGGCATTTAGTATATTGACGCTAAATAATTGCAACTACCCAACTATCATACAATAAACCGATGTGAAAGAAATAAATGTAAACTACATCAATATAATCAATGTACTCATCTCCAATAAGCTGAGCTATTAACATAAAGTAACTGGGTATACACTACACTATATAATGAATACCATATAGTAAACTGATAAAAAAAAACTAAAATATAAACTACATCAATATTATCAATAAACTAAATATACTCTCCAATCAGCTGAGCTACTAACAATAAGTCATTATACATTACAATTCTATAATGACTTATTGTTAGTAGCTCAGCTGATTGGAGAGTATATTGAGTTTATTGATAATATTGATGTAGTTTACATTTAGTTCTTTCACATCGGTTTATTGTATGAAAGTTGGGTAGTTGTAGTTATTTAGCGTCAATATAATAAATGCCTCAGTTGATATGTAAACTCTGACTTTAACATAGCTACTTCCGTGACTTTAACACCCTGCTAATCTATCACATTAACACAGCTATTTCAATGCTAAATTATTCTGTTGATATGTAAACTCCTTTGTCAAGGCGCTCTGCTCCTCCCACCCAGCTTAAAAGACGCTGCCAAGCTTAGCAGTGTTCATTGGAGCGCTGTCTTTCCGACAGTTCTGTTTCTTCACCTGAGGAAGGCTACTTGTGTTGTGGCCGAAACGTCGTGAGAATTTTATTTTATTATGTTTAATTGTTATTATTTTATTATTTCCCTTCTACGTGACTTTACCGAAAGAACCAAGATGAATCCCTGCAGTCACGAAAGCTTTACATCGAAAGAGGGCACACAATTAAATACTTCAATCTTGATTTGAAGCTTTCGTGACTGCAGGAATCCATACTCTTTGGTTATTTCGGTAAAGTCACGTAGGTAGAAAAAAGAATACTTATTATCCAAATAGTCGCCATGTGACAGGGCCTTACATGGAAAAACTTTTGGGGGTTCGGCAAGCACAGAATTTAGACACACGAGTCTTTACGTGGACCTTCGCTTGGTAATTATCACCACATGCTCTCATATATCATGTACTGTATTGCATTTCCAAGTCTAGTTTTAGTTCAAATAAAGTGTTGTTTATTGAAAGTAAAATCGGTAATATGAATCGGCACAAGCAAAAATGTACGTCCTTCAAATACACGTGTTACATTTGCAAATAGGATTAAAATGCTTTATATTTTCAGATTATTTAGGAATCCGTGAATACATTGAAGTTGACAAGCTACACGTGATCGATTCTATCCAGTTATAATCAGGAACACTAAAAAACAACACTTACATGACAGTACGCATTCCCTAACCAGCGGCTGTTAAACATATGCAAACGATATTTGATGGAATTAGTGATTTCTCATGGGAACTCTTGATCGTTATCGTGATGGCTGATGGAGTTCAGTGTCAACATTAGATAGTGGCCAGCCACTTCACAGAGCACGCTCTTCATCCAGCACTGGACTCAGAATGGATTTACTAATGTGCAGTGTGGTCTGCCAGACTGTACCCGATGCCCTGGTGCATTGTCAGTCCTGTCAGATTTGTGGTGGCAAATGGTGGTCATGTCAGGGTCTTCAGTGCAATCAGGGAACCTGCAAGCAGCCAACCCTGTGTGTGTAGCACTCTGGGAGAACAACCACCCATTGAGTAGTGGCGACACGGCGCCTCGAACAGAAATCAGATTATTATAATAAAGAAGACAATTATCCAGTAGCTAAACAGCTTTGATTAAAATGTTGATGCAAATTAGTGTAAAATATATTCCTCAGTACTCTGCGAATTATAACCAAACACAAAGATTAATGGTGGCTGATTGCGATGTGGTATTTTGTAAAACGTGTTTTAATCAAAAGTCGTATTAAGCTATTTTATATTGCCTCATAAAACCGTGGATACTAATAAAACATTGGGGATGGCTTTTATTCACATCTCTGTTCATACGCATCTCACAATAAGCCCTGCAATCACAAATGTAAACTTCGCAAGTGTTTTTAAGGCCCTTGAGCTGATAGATGTTAAAACAAATGTACTATTGTATTCAGTTAAGTACAGTTAATCAGCACCATCCGTTGAAATGTTTTAAGCAATACGACTTGGCAATTGCCTGTAACATGCAGGAAACATGACAGTTTTTTCTACTGGTTATTAGTTTTTACCTTCCTCCGAAATTTACATAAAAGTTGTTTCCAGTTTTTGATGGCACAATAAAAAAGAATGCATTGTCACCCAAAGGCCTGGGGCTCCATGAACCTAGCTTGTAAACCGACTACAATCCATGTACTAACTGAACAAAAATCACATTTCGCGAGGGCTGAATCGATCCTAACAAAGGTATATTAGGACCCCGGTACTGCACATCCAAACACAGTAGTTAGCTGGCAGCGCGGGACACTTTGTGGATTTTGATGGTAAAGGTCCATGAGCATTTTTACTTAAATATTGATTCAAGACCTACACATTTATATATTTACGTGATCTAACCCAAAAAACCAACAACTCTATTTTGGATATTGGTCGGGAAAGCCTACGTGGTTAAACTAAAGCCTTACTTTTGATTTTAAGCTTTCGTGACTGCAGGGATTCATATTCTTGGTTCTGTTTGCAGGTGGCACAGAACGAGAGGGCCACCGCACAATCCAGCTGATTTGCATGACGGTTGTGCAAAATCCCACAGCAGTTGGACCTGCTTTGGTGATCAGGCAGTCCCGATCGACAGAACGTGTCTTGTTTTGTGAAAGATTTATCACATTTACATTATGAGACCTCCTTTGCCAGTAACAAGATATAGTAATAGGTTTTACCCTTTTAACTGGCACAAAAAAACTGACACCTTTATTCAAGGCATCATGTCTGCAATAACCGCAACACAAGCAGTCAAAATGCAAACAAAAAGACAACTCTGATAATAATATTGGCACTGTCCTTGAATTTGATTGGTCCACACCCGAGACGGCTTTCTTTAGAGCCTAGTCTCCACTGGTGTTGGACCAGAGGACGCCAAAGGCCAGTCAAAAGGGTAAAACCTATTACTATATCTTGTTACTGGCAAAGGAGGTCTCATAATGTAAATGCTCACCCCGAGCCCTCAATACTCTGATAGTGCGCTGTTTTTGAGTTGTATGCCTTTTGGCGTCTTCTGGTCCAACACCAGTGGAGACTAGGCTCTAAAGAAAGCCGTCTCGGGTGTGGACCAATCAAATTCAAGGACAGTGCAATATTATTATCAGAGTTGTCTTTTTTGTTTGCATTTTGACTGCTTGTGTTGTGGTCATTGCAAACATGATGCCTTGAATAAAGGTGTCAGTTTTTTGTGCCAGTCAAAAGGGTAAAACCTATTACTATTTATCACATTGTTTTCCTCAACAGCCTATTCAGCTGTTGAGCTTTTATTGTGATCAGCTTTACACACAGTCGTATTTTTTGTTAGCCTATGCCTGACTGTTATGTATCTAAGAAATTATTCCATTTTATGCGAAGACCATGAAAAATACATACGTACAGTACGTCTATAAATCTATTAAACATTATAGTACATGTATCTCCCCCACCATTGGCGATGATAAACGCGCTATTATTGTGTGTACTTTAAAAAAATAATCGTTTCCAATTAAAACAGCTTCAATGTACCCTATTAAATACAGGTTTTCGCAGTCGGTGGTCACAATGTAAATGTACAAAGTGTCGCTATAAAACCTATTCCTTCTGCAACCCACGTCCACTGCCGTTTTCCCTCGGTGAAAACACCGTAGTGAAGGAACAGGAACCGTTCTGAAAAGTACCAGAACACATTCGGGGTTCTGGTGTCAGTCCGGGACAGCGGCGTATACCAGCGCATCCCCACACCACACTCATTCCAGTTGTACACTACTTGCCGTGGTAATTTACCCACAGCACAATCTATACGGTTTGCACATCAGCCGTACAAATTAAAAAATATATATGTTGAACTTCTTTTGCACCGCACGTAGCCAACCCTGCTTATCGGAGGTGCACTTAAGATACACAGCACCAGCTCATATTTGCACGACTTTCGGTAAACACCCCATGCCGGGCGTGGAGGTGGGGCTATGACACTACAGCACCATACTACAGTGAGGCTGCCCCAGGCTGGAAGCTGCCTGTGTGATTTTGCGAATTGCAGGCGCTCCAATCAATGTTTGCTACTGCAGCAATGGGTTTCATGTGCTGCAGGGCTCCATTCTTCGTACGGGGAAAGTTGCGACACGTCTTGCAATTGTACACACTCCACATTAGACGCCGGTGCCTACACACACCATAATCAACTCTCCACACATGATTCCGACTCAAAAGACTGCCACGCCCACTCTCGTTCACCATAATATGTTCACACGCAGGCAGCTCAAAGTGGGATAATTAACCAGGTAAGAGAGAATAGCTAACCTTTACTCAGGCAGTCATCAGCCTCTTCCCCGAGTTTTAACTTTCCCTGGAAAAAAAACCCTGGTTGCGTTAGCTACAAAGATGTTCATGAAATGTTTCATCAAGACAAAATCCTGATGATTTGTAAAACTACAATAAAAACGAACATTTCATTCTCGATATACTGTAGATCAAAGTCACGTGGTGCAAGTGCCTGCTTAAAACGAGAGCTCCACATGCAGCTTTGCGGCTTTTTATAGACGATTCGTAAGCTCGCGGTTTAAGTGCAGTCTGAATGAGGTCCGTTTGAAACAGAAATGGGTCAGTCCCTGTGCTGACCTGACGTACCTACCCACTCGACAGCTCAACACGTCACTTAAGGTAGCTTCACAATGCAGAGTCCATCAAAAGAACAGTGTTATGGTGTTATCTAACAGTCAATAACATCTCTGAGCTACAAAATAAAACACGCATGTGGATACCTCCAGTGAAATATATTTTACTTTACTGTGTGGAGAATAATATGAAAACATGGTTGCAAAAGAGATGCACAGCTTTACAATGTAAATTACTCAACCATTCTCAAGTAAAGACAAACCAGTTATGAATTCCTTGTGCAAGCATGTCAGTCAGTCAAACATTCAGAGATTATTTCACTCTGAGTGAGAAAAATATAAAAATAAACTAAAACAAATAAAATATTCCCAGAAATTATATTTAAATATATGCACATTCATCCGTGTCTCAATTAGCTGCCGGATGAGGGCTTCCCCGTGCCGTGCTGGTCGTGGGAGATGTTTTACCATTGCCACGTTGGCCACTGCGGGTTGGCAAAAGTGGGGAGCGTAAAACCCTACCCTCCTCCCCCTCTCTGACTTATTTAACTGCCATAACCCTGGTGGTCTCTCTCCCACTTCAGTAAAAAAAAAATCCTTGCTGTGGTTGTCACACCTGATGATGATTGCTTGTGTTGGAATCAAAACGTCGTGATTGATTTATTGAAATGTTTTATTTTATACATTTTTATTTATTTTTTCACCTACGTGACTTTACCGAAAGAACCAAAGAGTATGGATCCTTGCAGTCACGAAAACTTCAAATCTAGAATGAGCATAAACACGGCAGCATGGAAATACAATGGATTTAGCCTCAATGACTTCTGTTTCCCACAACATAACCCATCGCTTACAATACCGGCTATGCATGGTAGTCGCCCATCTATGCACCATTTGGGTTCAACCTTGTTAGCTTCCAAGATCTGGCACATTCTTTGGGAAATATATAGACGAAACTAACACTGTAATCTAGATTATGAGGATAGGATCTCATTGTGCAGAGTTCTATTTTTGATTTGCTTCAATTATTTCCTCAGGTTTTTTGCTTCCGTTTCTCCCTTGGCCTTTTCCTCTTCTTGTTGGGCTTTGCTCTGCCCGTCTGCGATGCAGTCACGGTCTTGGCTTGAGACTTTGTGCTCAGAGCCGGCTTCGCATCCGAGACAACGTTCAGTATAAACGAGTTGGGGTCCTTCAAAGGAATCACAAGGGACAAGAGGGCGCGGAGGCGGCATCAGGCATGAAACCAACACCACCGTGATGTGAAAAAAATACTAAAAGCAATACATCGTGTAATAGCTGCCGCAAGACTCGTTCATATTAACCCTTTCACAGCGGTCCCTTCTATTCTCGGGTGTCAGCGACGCCCTCCTCTGCCCACTCCAGATATGCCACGTGACTGAATGTATGTTTTTTATTGCAGACCAAATCTATTATGGAAATCAAACGTGTTTGATTTCATCTAGTGACACATCTAGAAAATAAAAATATCGTACAAGGGGTCATGCCTCTTTCATGTTTATTTAATTACAAATAATCAGACTGACCAAGTCTCAAAAGTAAGAGTAGGTGTTACTCTTTCTGGCCATAAACCAGGTAGAATGAGAATAAAATAATAAATTGATAAAATAAAATAACACAATAATATTCTCACGACGTTTCGGCCACAACACAAGTGGCCTTCATCAGGTGAAGGGACGAGACTGTCTGGAGGACAGCGCTGTCCTCCAGACAGTTATTCTATTTTATCAATTTATTATTTTATTCTCATTCTACGTGACTTTACCGAAAGAACCAAAGAAGATGAATCCTTGCAGTCACGAAAGCTTTAAATCGAAACATAAACCAGGTGTTAAGATGATCAAACACCAAATAGAAATCAAGTTTGCATTAACCACACGTACTTGTGCTGAACATGCAAACAAACATGCTTTGGCCTACACCAGAGACAGTCTTCTTTATGGCCTAGTCTCATCAGTGTCAGACCAGAGAATGCCAAAAAGGCAAACAGTACAATAGCTCGGGTTTACAGAATTCATTTTAAAAAGTGGCTGGCTACAGATTGATGTATTATAGCTAAAAAGCACATGACTGTGAAAGGGCTAAAATGCCATCGTGAGGCTGTGTCACCCGCGCTGGATGCTGTGGTGATATTGGACGCACCACCACTCTGATCTCCACCCGATCAGTGCCATCCACTCCACCTTCACCGCACATCTCTTCCCTAAACACCCACAATACACGAGAATCACATGTCAGCTCAACCAATTAAACCCACACAAAGCCCTGATGCTGGCACATGATGTGTTTGCAGAATACAGCTGGCAGCATCTTGTTTTTGTGTATACTTGGACCAAATTAAACCTGCATTTTCATTATCTGAATAGCACTGCTAAATTGTTTATGTACAACACTCTCAAAGGCTCAATAATTCCAATATTATTAGTTATATCGTAAGAGTCATAACTTTTAACTGGTAATATGTTGCATTTTACCAAAAAAATCTGAACTTAAATTTACCAATAATTTCCTTTATTTAGCCAGGAAAGCCTTTCGTAAGTCAAGGCACTCTTTCAGGAGGGTCCTACATTAGGATATTTAGCCAGAAAAAAACCCATGCATGTACATGAAGATAACAACCACAGTTCTGCAGAGATAGATTCAAGAATACAGTGCCATTGCAATGGAACATTCTTGTCTATATTCAGATGTAGGAGAGGACACACCAAACTATTTCACGGGCTGCTTGGGCATACCCGACATTTTCATCCATGTCCTCGACTAAGGCCTCGAAGGAGTTGGCCAGAAAGATATTATCTTCGCTCTCGGAGAGGGTCCTCGCGCGCGGTACGTTGCATATCTGCTGGATGTACTTGCTCCAGTGCTGCTGCTTCAGCTGTTTGCTGCAGGCGAGCAGCCCCCAGACGGCCGCCCCCTACGACACACAACAATCCACGGAAAGCCCGACCATCACAGGGCACCGAAAGAAACCCCTGCAAAAGACTGGTTAGTTTTTTCAAATCTATCAATGAATGTTTAGTGCCGCATTTTATTTTATATTCAAACTAAATTCCGCTTTAAATATTGTTTCCAAGCTATCCTCTTGTATGGGTATGTCGAGGGCATTATTGAGAAAATAAACTGAACCCAATACAAGCAACGTGTTATTTTTACAAAAAATGTCATGTGATTTGAATGTACGATGGGACACAAGACTCTTTTGCTTTTGTATGCTTTACATTTGTATATAAATACAATATACTACTATGCTGTGGAAAACAATTATGGTAAAATTGTGAACAGTTGATGTTAGAAATAAGAGGTTGCCTTGCATTACTCAACAAGACTTTAAACAGGCCTCGCCAATGGAGGCGATTCAGAGACAGAATAAACACAGATTCTGCAGAGGAGGATTTGAACCTGGTATTGTTCGATGAGAGGCGGAGGCAGACGCCGAGCCTTGGGAGAGGATGGGCGTGGTCCGCACTGTTTTGGCCCCTTTGCGGTACGGCTCTTGTTCTGATAGCGATGATGCAGCTCCTCCTCCTGTCTCTTCCTGACAGTAGTCAGACACACGGCCCTTGTTCACATCAAGCCAAGTCTACTCATTAACACAGTGCCAACCTCTCTCTACCTGCGGACAACCATTAACCCTCAAACTATATTTCATGGACCTCCATGTAATTCAAAGATGGCGATTTGCGAACAAATAAATGCATCTGGACTAATGGTCCACATACCAGAGGTTGAACGCCACTGGTGTATAGAATTGTGCATTAATGTTATCGAGAGTAAGCAACAGGATTGGTGACTGATTGTTCAGGGTTGTGAGAATATGGATCACTAAAATGTTCTGCTGTACATAATATTGGCTGCAAAAAGTGATGCGTTCAGTTAATGAAAAGACGGTATTGAAAAGAAAGAATTGGAAACGATCGACAGGAATTTAAAGATCAATGGAATAACATGAGATGATGTGGCTCAGCCAAAGTTGTGCGAAACTGTTTCCCAATGTGCTGCTGAGCACAGGAACGACTCAAGTCGTCGGTCAGATCAATATGACGTATCTTAGCTTCATGATGGAGGAAAAAATCCTGGTCTGGAACTGAGGACACTCACAGTTTCTTAGGTGGGGCCTCCTCCTCAGTAGATGCCCCATCCGCGTCGCCGGTGCCGCAGACGCCCTCCTCATGTGACGCACTGGAGCTCCCCTCTCCGAGTTCGTGTGGGGACGCTCTCTTCCTCGACACCGGCAGCTGCGTGATGAACAAATTGTGCTCCGTGTCCGAGGAACTGTGGGGTAAAAAGGAACTTCATCCGGACAGCGCATGCTTAAGCACCGTGCGACTCGCGATTAGGGCCGTCAATTGATTATAGATGTTTCGATAACTGCTTTTATAATCGATTATCAATTTAAAGGATAATTGATTTGATAGTCATCCTCTGCTGGATGAAGGCCTCCTCAATTTGTTGTCATCTCTATAACTGACAATCATATCCAGTTATATATTACTTATGATTCAACCGATTGGCACACACGAACGTCAAACTGCACGGCGCATTCCAATGTGATTGGTCAGTTGCAGCCATCGTAATGCACCAGCGGCAGGGTTCACCAATCACCACGTGGTTCGTTTAAGCAGATACACACAGGGCTGAACGTGCATAATGAGACGATGCTTTATGGGCGCCAAAAAAATATAATTCTATTTTCGCACGTAATTATCGATCGTGTCAAAAAAAATGAAATTAACAACCATGCTTACGATGACATCAAGCTGCCGCCAACGCGGTGTGATGACAGCACAGCGGCTAACACACCTGCTGGAGTGCAGGGGCGGAGCGCGCTTTCGTTTTGTCCCCAGGACGACGTGGGAGATGCTGTCGTGGTCCGAGTCTTCGTCTCCTCCTCCTTGCCTCTCATCATCATCTGTGTCCCCATCGTGACCGTCGGTCTCGTCACCCATCACGCCGCCCAACTTCTCGTCTTGCGCCCCTCCGAGCATTCTGTACCGACATTCGGGTCACGCGCAACGCGAGCTGTTACAGAATCCCCGTCACCATCGTCACGTGTACAGCCACAGCCCCCTTTAGTGTCAATCCACTGCTGGATGAAGGGGGCCTCCCCACGGAAACGACATTCGCTCGCAATCAATGTTGGCCACGGCTGGGAATCGAACCCGGCTGAGCAGACTCAAAAGTGCTGCGTGCTGAGCGCTGCGTCACTCCTCCACTAGACGCCGAGTGGTTTTTGGTGTCAAATAAACCGTGCGAGGCTGCGGCAGAGTGCAGTACAACGATGGGAGCATCACGGCCACGACCGCCACGACCACCACGACGGACGGCTACCGCGTTTGGGGACGGTGGCCACAATGGACCTGCGATCCAGAAGTCGCCGATTCGAATCCCGGCGCGGCAGTTGGACAACAACAACAACACAAACATACAGAGCCGGTTTATACTGGTAGGAACGAAGTTGTAAACTGAGTGTACCAGCCTGCAATAGATTAATGTGTCCGTCCGTCCCCTTTCAATACTTTAACGAAGTGAAATCTCGTGCTGTTGGGTGTAAAATCAGCAATAGACAGCGCAGAGACTTGTCCTACCAGCCCACCCTGCAGGGACCTGTTTTAAACAACTCCGGCGCTATCCACACCGCAGTAGAATTGGGTGCACCGCAGTTTGTTCCGTTGGCAGGTCGAGTGTGGTGGGGTCAAGTGTGGGGACTTCCGCCATCTACTCAAAGGCGTTTGGGCCAGCGTGAAAAGCGTAGGCCAAACATTACACTTCGGAGGGGCTGACTAGAACTCCCTATGGCCTACACCGTTCCGCAAGCAGTGGCGTAGAGCGAGTAATTGCAAGGCCGCGCCTTTGCCTCAACCCTTTGCCATCGCCGTGTTGAGCAACGCAGAGGAATGTTTAAACCCAGCTGCTGAGCACAGACCCAAAAGGTCCAAAACACCAAGCGACCAGCAACAAACAGCACCATCAAATATGTAACGTAGCTTCGCTAAGAGACGACGGGCGGGAACTCATGAGCAGAGAAACGCGGGACTCCGCCAAAGGGGCCCTCGGCCTCACCCGCCACAGGGGCCCTAAGGACCGCTCCCTCACCCGCCAAGGGGCCCTAGGGGCCGCTCCCTTACCCGCGACTTGGGCCCTAGGGGCCCTAAGGGCCGCTCCCTCATCCGCGACTGGCGCCCTAGGGGCCGCTCCCTCACCCGCCACAGGGGCCCTCGGGGCGCGACGAGCTCATGCCGGGGTCAGGGGTCGCGAAGGCCCGCGAGGTCCCCGTGTGCATCCCCCGCCTCCACTTCGGGAAGATCTCTGCAGGAAGAGGAAAGAAACGGGCGGAAGAAATCGTGTGGGACTTCTGGAAGACCACAGGAACGCAACGCCCCCAATCTTCTGGAAGACAGAACGTCTTCTGGAAGTCGGAAGATTCATTCCGGAAGACGGGGAATAAAACAGCGGGACCCCGATCTACTGTAAGGCCGGAAGAGTCCACGTGCGGACCCTGCTGACCACGCGGGGGTTAATCTCGTAGGTTCATCAATCATCTCGCGGGGGGTTCATCATCTCGCGGGGGGTTCATCATCTCGCGGGGGGTTCATCATCTCGCGGGGGGTTCATCATCTGGCGGGGGGTTCATCATCTCGCGGGGGGTTCATCATCTCGCGGGGGGTTCATCGTCTCGCGGGTTTCATCTCGCTGGACACTTTATAGCAGCAGCAGGAGGAGGAGAAGGATCCGCAGGCGATTCGCAGAAGGCGCCCGGTCACGAACTCGCGATGGGCCGAGGCTCTGGCCGGGGCTCGGGGCCCCGACGCCGCGCCGGCCCGCGGCTGCAGGAGGCGGCGCGCGCCGTGCTGGACAGCCCGCGCCACGCCAACCGCCTGCTGGAGCTCCTCGAGTCGCTGGAGGTGCGCCCAGCCGCCTCCTCGTTGGCGTCGTGGACGTCCTTGCAAGGGCGATTGCTGTTGTTTCGTGCTCCTCCTGGGCTGCTTGTAAACTTGCGCGCGGCTAAAGAAGCGACGTTATAGCTCGCTGGGCCTTAACATGTTAAAGATAAAAAATGTTTTTTAATTTAATTACAATTTTTTTTTAGTGATTACATTTTGAATTAAATGTTTAAGTTTACCGTTCCTATACTTTGCACTCCTATCGTTTGTTTGTATATTTTGTTGTAACGTTCTGACCTGCCTGGACATGTGTGAAAAAGAGCTTCATAGCTCATCGGATTTATCCTGAGAGCTCGATTAACGTTGGGCCCTGGGGGGTTTCGGGTCGGGAGAGAGGGGGGAGTGGGTGCCCCCCCCAGGTCTGCGTGAGCCCCCCCCCCCCCAGGTCTGCGTGAGCTCTCGGTCCAGACCTTGAGCCCAGGCCCCAGCACGCCAAGCGGGCGGCAACGACCCCGCACCCGCTGATGGTGTGAATAGTCACCACGTTTGCCTTGAGCAAGGATGTTATTAGTGATATTGTTGTCGGCGATGGGGGGGAATTCCAAAGCGGAGCAGTGCGAGGGAGACAGAAAGAGAAGTGAGGTGACCTGCAGTGTGGTGAGTGGGTGAGTGGCTGGGTGAGTGTGATGTCGTCTCCTGCAGTGTGGTGAGTGGGTGAGTGGCTAGGTGAGTGTGATGTAGTCACCTGCAGTGTGGTGAGTGGCTAGGTGAGTGTGATGTAGTCACCTGCAGTGTGGTGAGTGGGTGAGTGGCTGGGTGAGTGTGATGTCGTCTCCTGCAGTGTGGTGAGTGGGTGAGTGGCTGGGTGAGTGTGATGTCATCTCCTGCAGTGTGGTGAGTGGGTGAGTGGCTAGGTGAGTGTGATGTAGTCACCTGCAGTGTGGTGAGTGGCTGGGTGAGTATGATGTAGTCACCTGCAGTGTGGTGAGTGGGTGAGTGGCTGGGTGAGTGTGATGTAGTCACCTGCAGTGTGGTGAGTGGCTAGGTGAGTGTGATTTAGTCTCCTGCAGTGTGGTAGTTCAACTCAGCCTGGTTGAGACGGAACAGACTGGTAGACTGAGTCCTCCACATGCGTGGAGGTCCGTGTGGACCAGCGGTCAGGTGAGCTCCACCTAACCTGGTGGCCTGTTGTTTCCAGCAGCATCGGTTTCAGCAGGAAAACTCGGTCTAGTTTGTACTCCATAATAATAATGCCAGAAGCTTTACCGATGAAAGTGTCCATCCTGGATGGTAATGACTGATGATGCTGATGATTGCAGTCAGAGGTGGAGGAGGAGGTGGTGGCTGGCATCGCGGCCTGCAGCGGCCTCTTCTCGAGCCTCGTGCGGCGTGGGGCGATCCACGGCGGGGCCCTGCCAGCCGAGGAGGAGGAGGATGCGGTGGCCGGTGAGCAACCAGAGTGGAGGGGAGAGTGGCGTGGGGGTGTGATGAGAGGTGGAGAGTGGTGTGTGCGTGATGAGAGTGGTGTGTGGAGAGATGGAGAGTGGTGTGGGGGATGTGTGTGTGATGATAGATGGAGAGTGGCGAGATGGAGTGTAGTGTAGGGTGTGTGATGAGAGTGGTGTGTGGTGAGAGTGGTGGTGTGGAGTGTGTGGTGGGAGTGGTGTATGTGGAGAGATGGAGAGTGGTGTGGGGTGTGTAGTGGGAGTGGTGTGTGGTGATAGTGGTGGTGTGGTGGGAGTGGTGATGTGGAGTGTGTGGTGGGAGTGGTGTTTGTGGAGAGATGGAGAGTGGTGTGGGATGTGTAGTGGGAGTGGTGTATAGTGGGAGTGGTGTGTGGTGAGAGTGGTGGTGTGGGGTGTGTGGTGAGAGTGGTGGTGTGCGGTGTGTGGTGAAAGTGATGGTGTGTGGTGGGAGGGATGGTGTGGGGTGTGTGGTGAGAGTGGTGGTGTGGGGTGTGTGGTGAGAGTGGTGGTGTGGGGTGTGTGGTGGGAGTGGTGTATGTGGAGAGATGGAGAGTGGTGGTGTGGGGTGGTGTGTGGTGAGAGTGGTGGTGTGGGGTGGTGTGTGGTGAGAGTGGTGGTGTGGAGTGGTGAGAGTGATGGTGTGGGGTGTGTGGTGAGAGTGGTGGTGTCGGGTGTGTGGTGGGAGTGGTGTATGTGGAGAGATGGAGAGTGGTGGTGTGGGGTGGTGTGTGGTGAGAGTGGTGGTGTGGGGTGGTGTGTGGTGAGAGTGGTGGTGTGGGGTGTGTGGTGGGAGTGGTGTATGTGGAGAGATGGAGAGTGGTGGTGTGGGGTGGTCTGTGGTGAGAGTGGTGGTGTGGGGTGGTGTGTGGTGAGAGTGGTGGTGTGGGGTGGTGTGTGGTGAGAGTGGTGGTGTGGGGTGGTGTGTGGTGAGAGTCCCGTGGTGTGCGTGCTCACAGGAGCAGAGTGTTCCGCGGAGGAGAAGTACGAGCAGTGGCTGAGACATCGCTACAACGACTGCACAACGCAGCTGCTGCAGCTGCTGTCGCACGACTCCTCGGACGTCCGGGTGAGCGATCGGTGCCGCTCGATGCCCTCCATCGTGACGTGCGTCGGTGTGAATGTCTGGTTGTTTGTGAGTGGATCTGTGTCTTGCTTTCCGTAGTGGTGATGGCCACCCACCCCTTCGTGTGCTGTGCCGGCATTCTTAGGTGCTACTCACTCATGTCCAGGGATTGATTTCAGCCGGGTCTGTCTGGATCGGCGGCCCTTAAAATACTTTTATACCAGGCACACCGCATCCAGTATACCTCTCGCTATGGATTTGGCTACTAGTCACGTGCCACCTTCTGCACTCTACCAGTGACTTGTAAAATATTCAATGATAAAGTAAGCCCCGATGATGATGATGATGATGATTAAACGAGTACTCGACTGGATGATCATGATGATGTTACCATGCCCTACAGGAGCTGGCACTGTGTGCCCTCATGAAGTTGGTACAGACTGAAGGCCATCACCCGCTGGGCAATCAGAAGACCTCGTCCGCCGGAAACTTCCCGTACCCGCTGTTCAAGGTGCGAGCGCCGAGCCGGTCCGGAGCGGCTCACCGCCCCCACTGCCGGCCTTGTGAACGCTCGAGAGATGTGCACGTCGGCTCGGCCACCGCCTTGCGTGACGAGGCTCGATGCTAAGGGCCGCGTTTGTCGCCGCGCAGGCCGTGCTCGATCGCCTGCTGGAGGAGGAGACGCCATCTCAGCTGCTCGGGCGATTCCAGGAGTTCCTGCAACACCACGACACGGGGCTCCACACGCTCACCGCGCTGCGCTCACGTCTGCGCACGGTCGCCGCCACCACCGCTCAGGTGCGAGGTCCTCACCATCATCGTCATCATTTAATATTCTACTCGTACCGTGCAGTGTGTCTCATGGTGCTAATCACTGGAGCAGCACCACCCATGGTGCACTTCACTTGGCGATTCCTCCGACCGTGTGGAGCTGTGCGTTGTGGCCGGAGAGAGCGACTGTGGAGCTGTGCGTTGTGGCTTTGTGTTGCAGGGCCCAGGGCCCGGGCTCCAGGAGAAGGCGTTCCTGCTCCTCACCGCCGTTCAGATGCCATTGGAAAAGACGGAGCTCAGCCTGCTGGTGAAGGGTGACGGTACGGAGGGCGTCCTGGCGAGCGGCGACAGACATGCAGACGTCGCGCAGTGCAGAATGCTCGTCGCTGACATCTACACCCCGTGGTTTGGGATCCCGTGTTAGCAGTGGTGCACGAGCACGTTTCAGGAAGTGGCCCATCTATGAAGAAGAGGCCTTGTCTGAAATGTCACCTGCCCCTTTACACGCGCAGTTTCCTGCTTCACGAACGTTGAGATTTTGTTAGAAACGCCACAAAACCTTAAGCCTCCCTAGTTTGGAACTTACTCCCCCCACCCCCAGCTATCCGGCAAGTTGATTCCCTGCCTCGGTTGTAGTGCGAATTCAAAACCTCCCTTGTTCTCATATGCCTCTGGACTCTCTTCTCTAAAAACATGATTTATACAGTGCAATGCACAACCTTCTTCCTCATGGCCATGCGTGCCCCTCTCTTTTGGAGAGCATCGGGATGCTGTTATGTTTAGATTCTATCATAATGAGCCGTGATATATCCACCGCTGGATGAATTTCTCTCCGAGCCGTCGCCACCCCCGCAGTCTCGCGATGCGTTCCCTCCCGTGGACGCCGCTCGGTCACCGCGACGACACCCGGCCATCCCCGCTCTTGGCTGTGTCGCGTTCACGCCTCCCACGTGACGACTCTTGACTCGGCACGTTCCGAGCCGCAATCTGATCCTCTTTGTCTCTCATTCTAATTCCAAGCATTCATCTGCAGCCTTCAGCTTTTGTACGTGTGTATGTTGAACGTCTTTCGCACCGTACGTAGCCAGCCGTGCACATTGGTGTCTTGATTTTTCACAATCAAGTCGAGTTTGGGAGAAGCGCTTTGCCCTGCCGCGGCCCGTCTCTCTGCGCGACCGGCACGACCGGCGGTCCGCCGCTCGCTGTCCGGGCGTGCGGACGCGGTCCACTGCGGTGTCCCTCCAGCGGACGTCCCTCGTTTGCTCGGCGAACTTTCCGCGCACGCGCGGTTGTTTGCTCTGCTCGCACAAATTGTATTCGTCTTGCCCAAAAAAATATATATATGTTCCGGTAACCGTAGATCGAATTGACTGCGAATCTTTCACTTCACAGATAAGACGGAAACCAAGGTGACAGACATCAAGGTGAGGAGACGGCACCTGCTCGGTTGTGACCTCTGCCCGGTTGTGACCTCTGCCGTCGAAGCCCACGGCCCCAGAGCGGACGTCCCGCTCGCCGGCACCACCTGAGCTGGCGTCCCTTTAGCGGTTCCAGTCGCCTGATGTGGCCAGCCGGCGGCTTACACGGTGGCCGTTTGAAACGAGTGGGATTATCGCGATTCGCTCTCATTAGACACATGCACAGCTGATACGTCGGTAATTAGGTAGCACCAATTCCTGCTGTGCCCCACGGATTACGGAGATTCTGTGGAGGGAGCCCAGGGTGTGCTGCTGCTGCCCTCTTGTGGCATGTGTCGGGGTTGACGTAACACCCGCGGTTGGCTCCGCGGCTCGACACAGGCAGCCGGTTGCATTTTGCCGATTGATCGCTGCACCTCGGCCCCGACTCGCACTGTCATCACGTGCAGGGGCTGTGTTAAAAGAGGAAAGATTGAGAAGTCCTCACCGGGCCTCGGGCGATGGTGGTGCTGCCCTCTGCTGGCCGTCCTCGGAGCTGCAAGGGAGACAGGCATTGAACGAACTCCCAATTTGTTCACAAGCCAAGGTTTCTGGTCTCGTCAAGTCGAGTTCACGCGTTACGTAGCAAGTGTGCGGAGCAGTGGTGACACCCATGCCGCACAGCAGGAAGGACCTCGGTTCGATTCTAGACTCGGTCTACAGTTTTTATGATCTCCCCCTGTTCAGAGTTCTCTGATATTTCACATAGCTAACAAAAAGGACATACAATGTAAATGGTATTGCCGAAATATTCCAATGCTGAAACATTACCCGCATATTCTGACCGCAAAAACTCGGCAGGGCCCTCCTGAAAAGGTCTTGAGACTCGGCGAGGCTGCGGGTAGGGTGAACGAGCGTAGAGTGGTTTTATTTTTTACCTACGTGACTTTACTGAATAGAACCAAAGAGTATGGATCCTCGCAGTCACGAAAGCTTCAAATCTAGAATTGGTAACAACAACGCAGAAGCGCCGTGAACGAGCACTGGTTTCCTCTCTCCGCCAGGAGCATCGCAAGGTGTTTGAGAATACGTGGCTGGAGCTGCTGAAGCACAAGGTAACGTCATGCGGCCGGGTGCATGAGGCCTAGCGGGAGGCCCGGAGCCTGACCCAGGCCTCGCTGCCATCCCTGCAGATCCCATGTCATGTTGTCCAAAAATAAGTTCCACGTGTTGCAATGAGATTTCCAGCAAGCTCAGGAGTGATGTCTGTGCTGTGTGCCGTTTGTGTTGCAGCTGCCCCAGGGGCTGTACAAGCGCGTTCTCGTGATCCTGCACGATCGCGTCATGCCGCACATGCGCAAGCCTCCGCTGCTCATGGACTTCCTTAAGGCCTCCTACGACATCGGTGAGGAGAGCGCGGGAAACCAGAGCCTCCTATTACAGTGGCGGCGGTGTCGGAGGCTCCTGAGCGGAGCCGATTGGCGCTGACCGACTGGGAATTGAGATGAAAGCAGCTTGTGCAGTAGATTTAGCGGCATGTACAGCGGCGTCGCTCGCGACCGGCGGGAAGGCGCCACTCCCTTCCGCTCGTGCCCTGCACGCGTGCCGTGTGACCGCCACGTGGCACGTGCAATTCTCTCGGCCGATGGCATGCAAATTTGGACGTGAAAAGTACATACTCTTTGGTTCTATTCGGTAAAGTCACGTAGGTAAAAAATAAAATAACAAAAATCACGACGTTTCGGCCACAACACAAGTGGCCTTCATCAGGTGAAGGGACCGTGCTGTCATGAGGACAGCGTTGGAGTGAAAACAGCCAAGCCCAGGTCGCGTCCTTTAAGCTGTGTGGGAGGAAGCAAAACGTTTGACAAAGGAATTAGCGTAAAAATGAGCACGATGTACGTAGGAGGTGCATGGGCCATGATGGACCAGGAGCGGGTGGGGACCATGACGGACCAGCAGCGGTCCGTCATGGTGAAGTGAAAAGTACAATTATGCGCCACTCCATACGTCGGTTGTTTACTGGTTAATGGGACGTGGGCAAATGGCGCGCTTGCTGCAGGGGCCGTCACTGGAGGCGTTTGCGGAGCGTCGCCGCCCATCGTGTCCGATTCTGCGGTCCTGGTTTCCACCGTTGGGACCTCGGTGTTTGCATTTGTTCCAGGTGGCGCGGTCTCCCTGCTGGCTCTCAACGGGCTCTTCGTCCTCATCCACCAGTACAACCTGTGAGCGAGCGCCTCGCAGCGCAACACCGCACGCCTCGCACGCAACGCAAACGACGATGACGACGGGGAGCGCCCGCGTTGCGCCGTGCGAGCCGTCACCCGTGTGCCGGTGGCTGCTGCTGCTGCTGTTGTAATTACAGGGAGTACCCCGACTTTTACAAGAAGCTCTACAGCCTGCTCGAGCCGTCCATTTTCCACGTCAAGTACCGAGCGCGCTTCTTCCACCTGGCAGACCTCTTCCTCTCCTCTACGTGAGATCCTGCGAGTGCCGAGTTGTCATGTTGCGTTTGTATCGAACGTCATAAAAAATTGAGACGCAATCTGTACGTATGATGCGATGTGAAGGAAAATGATCATCTCAAAATGCTGCTGGAGAAATGGCAACGTGCGTTTTTTTCGCACGGAGGCGCGTGAAACCAGACACACAGGAAGGCACCCAGAACCGGCACAAACAATCGTACATTGGAGTGTCGCACCGGACTTTAATTCCGTCGTCACGACGTGGCGTCAAGCGAATTGGACCTCCTGTAGCGTGGAGCAGCCCCCACACAACGCGCGCCCACCAACCCCCCACCCACCCACCAACCCCCCACCCACCCACCCACCAACCCCCCACCCACCCACCCACCAACCCCCCACCCACCCACCCACCAACCCCCCACCCACCCACCCACCAACCCCCCACCCACCCACCCACCAACCCCCCACCCACCCACCCACCAACCCCCCACCCACCCACCCACCAACCCCCCACCCACCCACCCACCAACCCCCCACCCACCCACCCACCAACCCCCCACCCACCCATTTACCCACTTGACGGCCTGCGGCGGACGCGTCTCTCCCCGTCTCCCCACGCAGCCACCTGCCCGCGTACCTGGTGCTGGCGTTTGTCAAGCGGTTGTCCCGGCTCTCGCTGACGGCTCCGCCGCACGCACTGCTGCTACTGTTGCCGTTCATCGGCAACCTCGTCCGCCGACACCCGTCGTCGCGCGTGCTCCTGCACCGTGCCGCGGCCGGGCTCGCCGGTGAGTGTCTACCCCGCGGCACGCTCCCCCCCCGGCTCGCATTCTCCGTTTTCGTGGCGGCGCGCGTGCGCGGCTCACGCTGATGCCCCCTCGCGGTGGATTTGCCACGCTTGCAGACGTGACGAGCGACCCGTACGCGATGGAGGAGGAGGACCCGGCGAAAAGTGGCGCGTCCGACAGCTCGCTCTGGGAAATCCAGGTTGATGCCGGCTGCGCAGTTGGTCGTGTGTGCACCTATACCCTGCGATGGGCCTTCTGATTAAGGCTTCCTCTGTTCTGACATTTGGGCGAAGTTGATCATTGCGGACTCCGAGACCTGTCATGAGTCAGTGGTTATATTCATGCATCGATTGTCATCTTGTTTTCAGGGTCTTGTTTGCACTGGAGGAATCCGATGAGCTATAAAGCTCCTTTTCACAGATGTCCAGTAGAAAATATCTCCCGTGTGCCCCGTGCGAGGATCAAACTCATGACTTTCAGATTGAGACGTGACGTGCTACCTACTGCGTTTACGAGGCAACTCGTTGAGCGCAGTATTTGTGTAGCTGGCTTCAATAGCCCCAATGTTACATTGGCAAATAATTTGTATATCATTCATCTGCTTCTTGCACTCATAATATACACGATTTGATGTCACCATTGATCCTCAGCTGTAATAGTTAAATACGTAGCTCACCCTTTCACAACCGTCTATGATGATGCCCTCTCGTGGCCGATGCCGTGTATCACGTGAGCGGATGTAAGGTTTTGTTTGTGGGCCACACACTGCTGCTGCCGCCATCTAGTGGCAACATCTGAAGAATCGGTGTACAGTTGAAAAGCGCACGGCTGTGATTCGCCGCAGCCGAATTCTGTGGAGGTCACGTGACCACACGGTGTTGGCGTTTGCTGAACGGCGGCGCTGCGGTTGCGCGTCTTTGGCCGTGTGTTTGTGCAGAGCCTGCAGCGACACTACCACCCGGACGTGGCCACTGCGGCCACCGCGCTCACACGGCCGCTCTCCGACGTGGAGGAGGACCTCTCTCCACTGCTGGAGCTCTCCTCCACCGAGGTGGGTACCTCGCAACCCCTCAGCGGAGTCGTTGGGTGTCATTTCCTTCCAGGTGGAGGCGAACGCGGTGGCGGCAAACGCGGTGGCGGCTAACGCGGTGGCGTTGCGCGGCTCCCGTTGCAGTTGTTTGAGCGGGAGGTGAAGAAGAAAATCAAGAACGTCCCCTTGGAGTTTGAGTTGCCCCAGGGGCTTCTGGGAAAGAAAGGCGACACGCTCACTTCTCGCTGGACCCTGTAGCACGACCACTGGCGGTGGCGGCTCACCGCGCCGGCTTACGGCGCTGGTTTGGGGAAGGCACAAACTGCACGTCGGGTGTCGTCTCGGGTCAAGAGCACGGGGACGATTGAGTGAACCGACGGACGTGACTTCACCTGCTCAGTCTATGGATAGTCCCATCATTAATTTCTGCTGTAAATGTTTTGCTGTCACGCGAATGAGATGTCACCGGTTGTACGGCAGACCCGGGAGCTGCCACCCAAAATTTGCTGTTGCTGTTCAGGGGTCGGCCGCATAAAACAACTCCCGGGCACCGATTTGAGTTGGTGCCGGTTAAGGAAGCTTCTCATATCGGGGAGGGGCGGGGTTTTATGCAAGCGGTCGTGGAAGCTGACGGGCGCCGTCTGAACGACTCTGTTGTCATTCGGCGTTGATCGTCTGCAGAACGAAAATTATGCTTTGTGGTTGTTATTTTTTAAGACGTTTGTGTTTCAAAGCCTCTTTAGAAAATAAATGTGAAAGGACATTCGAGTGTTTTTTTATTTGTTTTCCGCATTCACTTTGCACCGTGTCCACCGGTCAAGCAGCGAGGGTCGCGCTGCTGCACTCTCGCGAGGGAGGCGCAGCATTCGTGCCGAGCGCTTGCGAACGGTGCCGCCGCGTTCAGGGAAATTTCGGTGGCCGATTGTGGCCATCGCACGCACACCGACGTCTTCTCCATCGCGATGAAGACGTTATCGTTGCCAAGCCGTCAACACCACCACCACCCCTCCTCGTCAACGCCGCCCTCCCTCCAGTTCCCGCAGCTGCCGCACAGGCGACACGCAGCGACCTCCAAGATCTGGCCTGACCATCTCCCACCATCTGCCCTTAGGGTATCGTCTCCCCCCTTGGGTCGTTGGGATCTTGGAGTCCGCTCCAATACCGGTCTCGGCAATCGGCGCTCCCTCATCCTGCACGGACGTCCCACCCAGCGCCGCCGCGTTTACCCAATCCTGTCCACCACAACACCCACCTGCCACGTTCTGTTTCGGACTTGTGCATGGCTCGGTTCCATCTTCTACCGTCAACATCGTGAGAATGGAACTCTCTAACAGCGCGTGCCAATCTACGAAAGGTAAACCAAGTGGACGCGCGCTCATGAGGTTTATACTGACGGCAAGCAATTTGGTGGACATTCCACCTCCGCGTTGAGTGCCTCCAACGAGATTCCTCGGGTGCGATGTTCACGGTGAAATCTGCTAAGGATGCGCAGTGTTTGTTCAGGTAGCGCTGCGTGTCCGCAACGCATGAGTCCCTGGACACCCTAGACTCCCCCACAAGCGAGACGTTCTGCCTCCAGGGACTGTCCAGGTGAAATGTTTGAAAAATTTGGAAAACTCGGGTGACGGCTGCGCGCACACTCAACACAGCAACACGGACATCAGGAGCCACGTGGCTTTATTCTCGGCCGTACTTCATCTCGTATGAAATAGCACGAGGAAAACGGTGGCCAGGAAACGTAATTGTACGCGGCGAACGGGGCCAAACAACGTAATAATTACATAAAACATTGTGTGTATCAACAGGCTGCTCATACAAATAGAACGGAACATGGCACCACAAAAACCGCAAAGCTTTTTTTGATTATATAATCACGGGACGGACAAGACCACCTGCCGACCGACTCATAAATAACGCGTCCGCGAGGCCCCCCCCCCCTTCCCCCCCGGCCCCCCCACCCCCTGCCCCTCCAGTCTGTACACATCGGGCACGGAATATAAAAATTACAAATTTAATTTGTGTCACCCGCACAGCTAACGCAGTCCCCGCACTCCAGCAGCTATAAAACATATGTACACGTTCCCAGATTGTGTGATGCAATGGCAGTTTAACGCGGGAGAAACGGCTTCCCGTCTCCCTCTCGAAACGATTCCCGTTAACGTCGCCGAAAAACGCGGTCGCTCGCGGAACTCGTCAATGTTCGCAGCGACGTTCCGCCGGACGGCTGCAGGGTAACTCGTCGGTCTCCTCCGACGACACCGGGTCTTTTTTTTGGCGTGACGGTTAACGGTGGCTGTTTGTGCTTCCCCGTACACACAGAGTTAAGGTTTTGAAGGCAGGCAAGTTTGTTTGAAACGGAAAAGGCATGGTCTCCGAGCCGGCCCCGGAGCAGCGTTTCTGAAAACCGCCACGACGCGCCAACCCCCCCGGGCGCTCCCCGTTCGCCCGAGCGGCGGCTGCCGCCCCCCACCCCCCCGGCGGTCGAGGCCAACGAAGCGGCCGTCGCAGCGGCCGGTTAAACGGCGCGGTCTACAAAAAATAAAACGACACGCCGCGCGTTCGGAAACAGTCTGGGCGCGCAGAGCGATCGAGGCGAGGGCGCCATCGTCGTCCTGCCGTGCGGCGGCGCGACGCGAGCGGTCTCGCCAATCGGGGGATCGAAGTCGGACATGGATGGGATAGTCGCTCAACTGACCGCACGCGCAGACCGCGTCGGCGCTACGCGGTCTGGGCACCGGCAGCTATGTACACCTTTATACACGGCCTTCAGGGAACCCCGGGGGTTAAAAATTCCACTCGCGCGACGCAGCGGCAAACCCTCGCGCGACGCAGAACACGCAAGGAGCCGGCGACGCGGCCGGGCCTACTTTGGCTTTGCCTGGCTCCCATGGCCCCACCTTCCAAAATTCTACAAAACAATTAAAATTATACAGCGTTAGACATCAAAGTTGTATTCATACTGCATCACACTTTAAATAGGTACTGTAATATAGACTTCTGTCACCTACGTATGCACGTATATTAAATCTGCCCGTGCTCTTGACGCCGTTCCTGCTGCGGGGGAAGGGCAGGGTCGCTATTTATTTATTTATTTACACGCGGCGGTGGCGCCGAGGCTGCGCCCTGCGTCCGAGTGCCTCCTCCGCGACCGGCGCTGCCCGGCCGCTGGCGGGGTCACGAACACCGGCGAAGGAGTTTGCTGCGGACGAGGGGGACTCGAGAGAGCAGGGACCACGACAAACCCCGTGCCGGTACCGCGGCGTCGGCACAAAAACCGCCCGACTTGAAACGCGAGCGACAACGGGGAGCTCTTGCGAAAAGGAGGTCGTCGCCGCACCGTGTCGGGACGTAGCGCTCGTTCGAGAATTCGCTCCCACCGCAGATTGTTGCACAATCAGAACCCAGGCCGCTTTGGAGACTGGAACTAAGTGCTGCGTGTTGGAGAGTTGATGCGGAGCCTTCGCGTTAAGCACGGCCAGACGCCGTCGGTCCCTCGACGGAGAGGGTCCAGGGACTCGTGGACAAAGACGACGGCGCTTGGCAGGGCGGCCGGCCGAGCAAACCTCCGCTGTCTGCCAAACGCTGAGGCTCGTTTCGGCAGCTAAAGCGCGAAGGCCGAGTTGAACTTGCAAGTCTGGCCCCTGCTCCTCCGCTCCACCTTGCCAAGCGTCGGTTCGGTGCACCGCCCGTGCGCAACCAGCGGAGGCTGCGCCCGGGTTGCGACGCCTCCGCGCGAACGCCGCTCGCTCCGCGAGACGCAAGCGCGGAGACGCGCGCGCAGGTCCCGCGCTCGGCGAGCTCCGGGAGAGGCCGGGGGTTACCGAGCCTCCACCTCGCGGCTGCCGCGCGGCGTCGGGGAGCGGTCCCGCGCATCGCCCGGCGCCGCCGACAGCGGCGTGACCGGCGTGAGCGGCGTGGAGCGGCGCGGCGACGGCGCTCGGGCCGAGGCTGAGATGAGCGGCGGAGGGCCGCTCGTGGCGGGGGGCCCCGCGGGTGGGGTCTTGGCGAGCGCCCCGTTGTGGTGTCCGTGGCCCCCGTGAGCGTGCGGGTGGGAGGAGGGGGGCGCGTGGCCGTGGTGGGGGGGGTGCAGGGACGGGTGCATGGAGCCGGGGTGGAGGTGGGGCCCCAGCAGGCGTGGGTAGTGCAGCCCGGGGAAGCCGGCGGGAAGTAGCGACGCCCCGGCCAGCGACGTGTGCAACTGCGCGTCGAGCAGCATGGCGGAGGAGGCGGCGGAAGAGACGGCTGGGTGGATGCGCGAGCGCTCCAGCTCCAGCGAATGGAGGCGCTCGCGCTCGTCGCTCGCCAGCCGGCGCGGGTCCAACAGGAGGCCGCTCGCGATGGCCTGCTCGCGGCCGTAGTCGTGCGGCTCGCGGTCGCGGTACGCGCGGCTCTGGTCGTACATGGCCTGCATGTTGGCGTAGCGCTGCATCGCCACAAAGTCTCGGCCCAGCATCTCCTTGCGGTGGTCCATGGCCGCGGCGTAGTGGTCGCGGAACGGGTGGCGGATGCCGTCCCACAGTGGGTAGCGGTCTCGCCCGGCCAGGTGAGACAGGCCCAGGTAAGGGTTGGTTGCCGCGGCCGAGACCATCCGCCCGCGCTCCAGGCCCGCCATGCCGTTGAGGCCGAGCGGGTAAATCTCCATGCCGTGTGGCGGCGGCGGGAACGCGTGCATGGGGGCCGACAGGTGGGAGTTGTCACTTGACCGGGTGTGGAGTTGCTGCGGATGCGGCTGAGGTTGGTGGTGCTGATGCTGCTGCTGCTGCTGCTGCTGCATGGGTTCAGAGCGCACCAGCACCACGTCGCTCTCCTCCTTGCGCTCCTCCTTCACGCGCACATCGCCGGGCTTCCTCGGCTGCTCCCCACGGCGCTCCATCTCCCGGGCGGGGCCCTCCGCCCGTCTCTCCGCCTCTCTCAGCTGCCGGCTCTCGTCGGCCGTGAGGAGCCGCGGAAAGGGCGAGGAGCCGCCCCTTCCATCCGCCGGCACGCCGCGCAGGTCCAGCCCGCCGCTCTTGGCGAGCTCCTCTGGGTTAAGTCTCCGGTCGAGGCTGCCCGACTTGCCATAGTCCTCCAGGCTCAGCCACCGGTCGCGGCTGCCAGGCCGTCCGTGATCCTCCGGGGCTTTTCTCTGCTCCGCGTTCCCTGACCGCGCGTGCTCCTCCGCGCTTGGCCTCCTGTCGTTGCTCCCGGGCCGGACGTCGTCTCCACCGCCGCCGCTCTGCCTTCGCGCCGACGCGGCCTTGCCGTAGTCGTCGGCGTGCGCCCTGCGCTCGTGGCTCGCCTGCTGCTTGCCGGGGAAGGTGAAGTCCCGGGCCCGGTCGTCGTCCTTCCTCTCCGCACCCGGCGGCTCGCGCTCCGCCGTGCGGTCCCTGTCGCCGCCGCCGCCGCGGGCGTCGGCTGCCGGCTGGCGCTCCACCGAGCGATCGTCCCTCTCGACGGTGCCCCGGTCCTTGTCCCGCGAGTCGGCGTGCGCCCGCTCGGCCGCACGATCCCGCTCCGCCGCCCGCTCACGGGAGTCGGCGCGCGGTCGCTCCGGCTCGGCGGGACCCGGCCCTCGGCTCGCGCCATGGCCAGGCGTCGACGTTGTCGTTGTCGCCGCGGGAGACGAGGAGGAGCTGCAGTGCCGCGATTTGCTGTGCTCCGCTCTGCCGAGAGATCACCGCACGATCGCAATCATCGCGCCGCACGCACCGCTCGTCGGCTTCCGTAGCAAAGAACCCGCGATGCACAACAGCACGTTTACCGCTATTTCATGGAGCAGGCAAGTTTGGGCTTTCAGTTTAACCGGAGGTAAATTATTTCATGAAAATTTACCTCCGGGTGTAGGAACGGGGTCATTAGCATCACGCCGCTCATGAGCGAGCATGTAAAGCAATGCCAGTGGACAGCGCTAGCCCGTGGACGTTGCTCATAGCGAGCACGTGGCTACGAGCACTAACTGCTGGGCTCGTGGTGCGGAGGATCTTAGGAGTCGGCTTTCAGCCCAACCGTTTAGAGGAGTGAGCGCGAGGACTCCAGTCAGGTTCGTATGGGTTGGGACAAAGGCTAGGATTATATTTGTCAAGTCTAGAGTAATGGTTGTTAGGACAATGGCAAACGTCATACCTCGGTATTCAACTTTAGGTATGGCTATGGCCCGGGGCTACAGCTTCTACTATGACTTGGTTCCAAAACTCAGGATACGGCCAGGGTTGTATCTAGGCCCAGGTTGGGACGTGCCGGGCCCGGCCGTGGGGGAGCGGTCCCCTTACGTGGAGCGGTCGCGGTGTTCGCTGGGCCCGGCCGGCGCGCTGCTCCGCTCGGGGTCGGCGGGCGGCTTGGGCCACGGCGGCGGCGTGGGGAAGGAGGGCGGCGTGCGGTGGAGGCGGTTCCACGGGTCCTGGGAGCCACCCATGGCGGGGACGCCAAGGGCCTCCTTCTGTCCGTACACCCCGTTCGAGGCTGCAACAACAACACGCAACGGGCGCCCATGCTTCACCTCCGGCCCACGGCGCGGCGCGCTCCCACGGGTCGCCTTTCAAGTTTGTTTGGCCAGGTGAGGGCTCAAGAGGCCGGGGTAGAGTTTCGTTTCAAAGGGCGACCCCCGAGCCGCCAAAGTGACAAAGGCAATAACGCGAAAAACACGGACAACAACGGAGCATTTAGCTCCGATTTCTATTTGCTCCAGCTGAACAAAGACCGAGGCCGGCAACCTCCGCTTCTGTTACGCGTAGAAGCCTTGTCAAACAAAGCCTATGATGCTCGTACAATATTCACAAACGGTAAACAATGTAACATTGATCATAATTATCTTGGCATGCATACGCCGCTTGTTCAAGAGTCTCAGTAACTCAAAGGGCCTTCACGTCGCATCTAAAACATTGAAACGGGGGACCCCCCCCGGACCCCCCCCCCCCACCCACCCCCCCCAGTGGCAGCTGTTCCTGTATGCCGCACCGTGACTCAGCGCCTGCCTGCAAGTGGGCTTTGCTCTGCCAGAACGAGGGGGGGGGGATGGTGGGACGACAATTGCAGAGTGCAGCCCCAATTGAGCAATTCTTATCCGCGCGAGTCCATGCACGTATCGCGCGAAGACTGATCGGGATGGAGGAGCTGGTACGCTGCCACGAGCTCGACTTTCGCGTCCGGAGCGACGAGAAGGACGAGAGGACCGCCGGAGCGCGTCTGCACGAGTGGCGCATCGCACGCGGGCGCTCGGCACGCGAATCCCCCGAGCGCTCCTCCCCAACGGAAACAGATGGAGCCATTTGCTTCCACTCCACAGCCGCTGAGGGGTTTAACCGCGAGCGCCCCCCCCCGCCTCCACCTCACGCATCCCGCCCCCCCCCTCCACCCACGCCCCCCCCCACGCAGCTTTGAGACGAGAGAATGCGGGAGTTCAACCTGCCACGGGGAGGCGCTTACTGAGCGCGGGGTTGCCGAGGCCGCCAAACGCATTGGTGCCGAGCGAGCAGAGACCTCCAAAGCTACTGGGCCGACTGAAGGGGTCTGTAAAGACAACGCAGCAGCAGCAGAAGAAGAAGAGTTACACCTCGAGTTTGGCATTTAAACTCAAAGTAGTAGTAGTAATAATAATGGTGCTTACAGTGCCAGGGCCGTGCAGGGTGGCAGAGCAAAGGGGGAAATTTTCACACAGAAGGGTGGCCGCCCCCACAATGGGCCCACGTTTTTGTCGCAAATGAGCGAATAAGGGGGCCTTCAAGTGGCGTTCTGCCCTGGGCCTCCAGCCCCCTGGCCCCCAGGAACCACAGGAAAGCCTCGCCGAGGCTCGAGACTCACTTTCAGGAAGGTCCCGCTACACTGGGATGTTTGGCCGATTCCATGAATAAATGTTTGGCTTCCCGTGGGATGAAAACAAAGTACCTGGAGAATACCCACGCATCCATACGAGGGGACAATAACACTCGTAGCTCCGCTCAATACAGACGTGACCATCTATTACGATGCTGCCATCTCGAGCCTATAACGTCTGGTATTCCCAAGCAAGTCTTTCCGCATGCAAACTGACGAGAGACTCAGCCCTGCTTAGCTTCCGAGATGTGACAAGTTCGGGGCACGGTCAGGGTTACTTGGTCGGAGGCGACCAATCGCGGGAGCTCGTGGTCGAGCTACGCTCCCATTCCCCCCACACAGGGTCAGAGGCCGAGTTGCTCGCGGCAAAGATGCCGGCTCTCTACGCTCGTGCGCCACGCACGCACGCACCACGCCCTAACGACCCCTACAGCGTCGACCCCCCAATTGCAACAACCCCGCCACCACTGCGTGCGTCCCTCGGCATGGAACGTGATGTTAGGAAGCGAGGGAGGCAATGCACGTTTGAGAGGAACCGTGCTGCTGCTGCTGCTCACTGTGGATACGCGAGGACGTACCGAGGGCGGCCGGGTTGAGGAAGCTGCCGTGATGAGTGGGGGGCCCGGGAATGCACTGCGTGGGGGGTGGCCCGGCCACTGGTGACGCGCACACACGCATACAGGCGTGAACACATGAACACACATACACACGCAGACAGATGCACGTACACACGCAAACAGATAGACATCAAATAAAAAGACAAAGATCTCCCATATAGCCAAACAGACTAAGTGCTGTTCGCGAGCACCTATGAAGGCCGGAACGGCACACGAGGGGGTGGGTGGCCAGCACCACGCTCAACCGCCTTTGTCTCCCCAGTGACAATGTTTAGACACCGCACCAGGTGCTCATTTGAGGCTGAGTCGACCTAGGGGAGGCCCAGGACCAGTTCAGATAATCATCACTGGTGTTGGCCGTGAGCGGGAATCGAACCCAGGTCGCCGGGTTCATAGCGCAGCGCGCTAACCGCTACACTACCGCTCCCCAGATAGACATACGCATGCACACACACACGTACCAGGACTCACATGCGAACATATACACACGGTCACTGGTGCACACGCATAAACACGCACACACACACAGAGTTTAACATTTTTTCTGCCGTCCATCGCATAGGCCTCCTGAACAGGGCCCTGGCTCCTTCAGGCGCAGCGGCGCCGCGGTTCCCCCCCATCGTCATCTGAAGCCAGGGCTCCGGGGCGCTCCCCGCAGTGCACGAGTCCAACGCAACCTCCCGGCTACCCTCAACTTTCCGTGCTCATCCCTCGCAGCCATTCACTCGCCCAACGCTCGGCGGTAAGAGGAGAAGCACGGAGCCCCCCCCCCCCAGTAACACACCTGCCGAGAAGAGGGTGGCGGGGCGCGTCAGCTCGTGGGGGTGCGCAAAGCCCGGGAAGAGGCCGGGCACGGGGGGGCGGCCGAGCAGGTCGGCCTTGCCCCCGAAGTCCAGCTTGTGCGGGTCCAGCTGCATCTGCTGCAGGGGAAGACGACCCCTGTGAGGACGGCGTCGCCGCTCCCTCGCCACCGCACAACCACCGTACAAACCCCCTCCACCACCGCCGCCGCACTCGCGCACACGCTCGCACTCGCGCACACACGCGCACACACGCGCACACACTCACCTTCACCTTCTGCTGGTGGTAGTAGATCTGCCAGGCCACGCGCACGTGAGCCGCGCACCACTTCCCCGGCTTCTGTGCAACAACAGACAACCGCCGCCATTGCCGGATATTATTCCGCCCGGCGTGCATCACACGAGTCACTCCGCTCAAAACGAGCCCGGTGTTTAACCCCGCACCGCAGGCACACAGGGAACGCGCTGCGGACAATGCCCCGATTACTTCGAGAGCAAGGCCGACAATCGATCACATACACTGTGCCAAAGGGTTAAAAATGCTTCAACGGGGACGATAACGACGCCTGCTTGCCGCGGGTGTTTGCGCAGCGCCTATGAACGAGCAGGTAATGAAGTGACGCACTTACGGTCAAGGGTAGTCTGAACGGGTCCGTGAACTGTCGAGGAACAGAAAGGGGCAATCGTTACCGCGGTGGTCAAGCAAAGCGCAACCGCCGCGTCTGCGCCGTCCCCCCAGCGCCGCCGCGTGCCGCGGGGAGCCGCGACTCGGAGCGCCTTCGTACCGAGCTCGCGGTCGCCGCTCGCTCCTGACGCGCCACGGGCGGCTACGCCGGGGTGACCACGCTCAGCGCGCGTCAGGGACAAGACTCCCCCAACGAGAAATTAAATCGACTCGACAAATACAGCACCGGATCCGCATTGGCGTCGTCGCTGTGCTCAATATACGTAACAGAATAAACAGACGACATGCCTCCTTCCCATATCTGGGACCACATCTAACAGAGAGGGTCCTTGCCTATAAACATCAGGCAGTTCACAAGCCTGATTCTGCTGATGATGAGACACCGAATGGTCCAAAGTTTTGCTCATGTTGAACCAATGGTGCTGAAATCATGCCCTCCTAGAAGGCTGAGTGGCTAATGAGATGTGTACAAAATCTCATCTTATTTCTTCGTGTGCAAGGACCGATATGGGAAGGACGCGAGTTGTCTCGAACACAATGGGCGCAATCACCACCCGACGGCCTTGATGGGCACAACGAGCGTCGTGTGGTACGAGCGCTCCGAATCGCTAAGGAGGCAGGTCACCATGACCAGCAGGCCGCGTGTTGCGGGTGCAGCGGACCCAGCCTTCGGGGCTGTGCGGGAGACGGCACAAGGCGCCGTGCGCGAGCCAACGGAACACGCCGAGCGAGGGTTTACCGACAGAACCGAGGCAGTGGAGAGGTGGCTTAGCCAATGTTAGCAGGGAGGGAGAGTCTGGACGTCACGGGCGAATGCCGCGGGGCCCGTGTGAAACACTGTCGAAATTTCGGAGCACAGCGGCGGCAAAACTGCGGCCTCTACGGTTTTCACGGCCACGTGCGGCGGTGTCAATTATGCATCGGCGCTCGGCAGGCCGCGGCTCTGCTCATTCATTAACACCGTGGCGCCCAAGGCCGTCTATTTGTGCCCGACGCTTAAACAGTCGGGGAAGTTCTGCGAAATAGCGACTCAGAAATGTTTCCAGGAATCGTGGAGCCCCACGGGCCAGGCTATTTTGTACAAAACGTCCAGACGGGGAGGGGGGGGGGAAGCAGCTGTTAGCGCTGTGCAGGAAATGCTCAGGTGGTGCGCGCTTTAGAAACGGCGAACGGGACCCCCGAGAGGGCACAGCAAGCGACGGTCGGCACGCGACGCCCTCCTCCTCCTCCTCCTCGCAGCCATTACAGTGCAGTTGTGGTCGCGCCGAGCACCGCCAAATAATCAGCTACGGAAGACGTCGGGCACAAGAGGTTGTTTCTGAAAATCCTGAACGAGTGGTGCCCAAAGTGTTCCCTGTGCTGCGAATCTGTCCCCAGCTCTGCGCGTTTGAGATTTGAGCGCTCCCGACACCAGGCATTGTCATCTACTGCGCACGATCCAACTGAGACCTTGGTGCCGGTAGGGGCCGGCTCCGGGTTTGTGCCCTCGTGATGCGTTTAATGGAGCTGGTGCTCGTGACAGTGTCTCTCTCAGCAGCTCGGCGGAACGAGGCTCGGGAAGGATCTGCGATTGCCGCGGAGCCCTTGAGGGGAAGTCGAGTTGATTTTGTCGAACCAGGTGAGAACTCAAGAGACCAGATGAGTCTTATTTTGAGGAGTCACCCGGGGCATTAGTCTGCTGCCAGTTGGGGTGATGATTGCTGCTGTGTAATCCAAATTGGGTAATTTGCGGTGTAATTTCTGAATTTGTCAAATTTGGACCCTGACCCCGGCACACAATGGCCCACTCTTGCGAATGACGTCACAGGATCTTTAACATCCACTGTGAAGCAGATGGCACGTAGTAGTAATATTCCGGTTATTACACCGCATTATTAATCAGGGCGGCCGCTGGATTCGAACGAGCTGCCGCTCGCCCACCGCGTCGAGACAGGGTGGTTCAAGCTTTCTGCGCTCTCCACATGAAACACGGTGGCAAGGAGGACGTGGCGCAGTTGCTGAACACAAAGCCTGGGATTCCTTAGAGAGCGGCAGGGACAACGGAAACGCCTCTCTGCAGAAGCCTACGGTGGTGCAATGAGACCAGACGATAGGGAACAGGACGCCTCGTTTGCGTCGTCCTCGCTCGCTTTGGCTTTGATTTCATTCGAAGCACAGGGAGCAGCTTTGCTTGCGCTGGGGCTCTGCCTCACGGCCGGCACCGCCCGCCGCACGCTCCGCCAGCGAGCGTGGCCGGGACGCGGCGCCGCTACCCCCGGCCCTCCCGACAGCAGAACGCTCGGAGCCTTCTCGGCGTGTTTACCCGGGGGTCTTTGGGGAGCATGGAGTGAGGCGCAGGCCCTGGTCTGCCCGCTACGTCAACTGCACTGGAATTCTGGGAAGGAAGGGCGGGGCAACGCGAGGAGATTACCGCGGCGACAGGCAAGCGCCACTCGGCCTATCGCAGGCCTCAGCAGTCAACCACACCGACAGCAGCAAAGCAGCGGCAGAGGAGTCGCGAGGACCGGTGCTTTAATCAATGTCCGCTCAATGATTGTTCATCAATTCGCTCCGGCCGCGTGCGGAGAACAGCTAGAGCCAGCACCGCACTCTCTCGCTGCTGCAATGGCCAGCGCATGCACAGCCTCGATGGGAGTAGCTTAGAGAACAGACGCAGCTCATCTGTAAACGTGTTAGTCACAAACACTCACACCAATTAAAATTCGTATTAAATCATTGTAAAGTTTAGTATAGGTATGTTAGATTTAAAACATTACGAAATATAACGCGTGCTTTGAATGACTTAGATGTAATCAAAAGGGGAAATGTCGTTTTAGGTCTCCCAACGGTTCATTTTCTCCGATGGTTAAATAAAGAAGACTGACTGAACAATTAAAATCGGCATTCACCAAAACAATCGTCGACACGAGCAGCCGGAGTCGAGACAGACGCGGGGAGAGGCACGCGTTGTTACTGACAAAACAACCGGCGTGGCATCTTCCTTCCCAACATGACGTATTCAAGCAATCATTTACAAGTACATTCTATTTTGTTAAATATAGACAATATCTTTGAGCAAGCCACGACCTTTGTACGCCGTGTTTACCGGGTGCCAGGTCATGACATTATTTTAGGGTGATTCTATGGGCGAGGATTTATATTGGACATCCGTGAAAAAGAGCTTCATAGCTCATCGGATTCCTCCAGTCTAAATAAAGGTTCTGATATTTGGAGCGTGCTTTTTGAAGTCGATCTAAATTATCGACGACCAGCAGGTCGCCGGCCCATCAGCGACGGCGAGCAGCACCCGGCACGCCGCGCGGGGCGCAACTCCCATCCCACAACGCCCCGGCCAGCTATGCCGCGGTGCCCCCACGCCGTGGGTGAACCTCCGTGGAGGTGTGCCGGCGGCGTCGCAGCCACGGGGTCTCACCTTGGGCTGGAAGGCGCCCTGCAGCGAGGAGAAGGGCCCGGCCGGGGGGAGGATGGGGGCCAGGCCGGGCAGGCCGGGGTGGTAGGGCCCAAAGAACTGCGCGGGGAGGGAAGGGCGCGGCCGTGAGCGGCGGTGACCGAACGCGCGCTCACGCTTTCGTGAGCTCGCCGGCGCGTGCGGCGCCGTCATCGCGGCTCTGGCGTGCAAGCCGCGGGGATGGAATGTTTGTTAAACAATTTAAAAAATCAAATTCTTTGCTGCGATGGATGCATTTCAACACGGCCAGCCTAAAAAGCAGATACATCCGCGATAACATTTACGCTCGATTTAACGCGTCCTTTATTGCTTTTGGAATGTTGAGTTTTTTGTGAGCGCCGAAAGCGTTCGTCACTGCCCGTGCCAGTGAGCGAAAGCTGCCGGGAGAGGAAGCCGCGCGGCAAGCAGGTGGTGCGAGCGTGCGGTGGTAGTGGTGGCGGTGATACTCACGCTGTGTCGATAGAAGGGGTTTTCTAATCGGGGACCGTATTTGTCAAACTAGGAGAAAACACAACACCAACATGATTGCTCATTTCTACTGCCGCGGAAAATGACAATAGCATCTCGTACCATTTAACATACAGTTACGCAATAGTTATTTTAACACGTAGGTTTGCACGACCAATATCATCCACAATACTGGATTTTTGGGTTACAACGCGTGTCGGGTGGGGGCAGGTTTAATGACCCAGTTATATACAGTTATACATGTGTGTGTGAGTGCGCAACATACATGCCTTGCTGTAAAGTTCACAAGTCACACTAAAACCAACACTTTTAGCCCAAGCAATGCTCTTACACAGCACCTAATGTATGCCCAGTTAGAGGCGTAACGACCCGCAGCACTCAAGGTGGAATGCATGACTCAATGCAAACCACGGAAACTAGATTCAAGGAGCGTCACGTGACTGTGCGCATGGCCTCAAGTGTCCCATGGGGACGCGGCTTTGCGTGCTCCCGTGAGCACGCACGCACGTAGAGTATTCCACGTTCAGCGCGCGTCGCCTGTGTACGTCGCGTTCGCGCAGCTGCCCGGCTGCATGCCAGCGTGGGGAACACAGCTCGTTCCTGTGATGTCGGGTATACCGGATAAACATCAACACAGCTGCAGGTCAAGTCGACCATTTATGCGCCCAGAAATGGCCCACTCAGAACAGGACAGCAATGTCATCTTTGACGTGCAGAGCGCACGCACGCACACTCGGTCGCACGCACGCACGCTCCAAGTTACTTGGTCGCGCACATGCACACGCGCACGCACGGAGAAAAGTTCAAAGTGCATTCTCACGTTTCTGGGGGCGGCGGTACCCACCAGGGGCGGGGGTGGCGCGGGCGCGGGCAGGAGGCTGGGCGGCAGGCCGGGCGGGTAGGGCGTGAACGTGTGCTGGTGCGTGTGTTGGTGCGTGTGCTGGTGCTGATGCTGGTGCTGATGCTGGTGCTGGTGGAACTCGGCGCGCATGTACTGCGCGGCTGGGCCTAGCGCCGGCCCCCGCTCGCCGCTGGCCTGAGATGCCAAGAAGCGGCTGTCCAGCTCCTGCCTCAGCAGCAGAGGGTCTGCGGGACACAGAGGAGTTGCGGGCGGCGGTTAATCACATCTGCAAACGCTCAGTGCCCACCTCGGAGACGTCCGGATGAACGCGCACGGTGTGCGCGGGGAGTTTGCCCTCGCTCCACAGCAAAAACAAACAAAACAAAAACGCGATTCACATAGGGAGACTTTCACGAGGACGTGCGAGACGGCTTCGCGAACCGTCTCGACGCAAGATCGTTGCGATCGTAAACGCGGGCCCCCTGGCCGTGGTCTGGGTGGCCTGCAGTTCACGGCAAGGTAGGAAGGAGAGTTGTGTGTCGGGCTTAGCCGGTCGGTCGGTCGGTCGGTCAAACGCGTGTCAATAAAACCACGGCCACCACGGCCGCATCGGCACGCACCGAAAACGTTCGAGCGCTTTCAGCCCTGGCTGCGGCGGCCCGCCTGGGTGGCCAGGGCTGGAGCGGTTAGCGCTCCGCTCTATGAACCGAGTTCGGTTCCGGCTCACAGCCAACATAAGCGATGAATATCTGAACCGGTCCAGGGCTTCCACTAGGTCGACTCAGTCTTAACGAATGCCTGGTGCGGTGTGTAAACATCACCACTGGGGCGACAAAGGTGGACTGATGCGGGATTCTGGCCACACACGCCCCCTCATAGGTGTTCCGTGTCGGCCTTCATTGGTGCTCGCTAACAGCACTTTCCCCAACAGTCTCTATAGACTACAGATGGCATCTTCGTCTTTGTGAGCGTGCGCGCGAGTGTGCACGAGTACTAGTCGGTGCACGCGCGTGCATCTGTGCGCGCGCCACCGCAACGTGTCCCACTGTGTACGGCGCATCTCGCCCTCTGCACGGCACTTGCCCCGCAGTCTGTCGAGCCTGCAGGGCGGGGGCCTCTGCCCGTGTGAGCGGCACGCACCTTGGTAGCCTGCGGAGGACGGGTGCGCGGACACTTGCAGGCTGCCGGACGTGAGCGGCGGAGGGGGAGGAAGGCTGGGCGGTGGGGGCGGCACAAACATCCCGTGGCCGTGGTGGGGGTGAGGCGGGGGGAGGGAGGGCGGCGGGCGCAGGGGAGCCCCCGGGTAGGGTAGCGAGGCGGCCTGGCTGCCCCCGACGGGGAAGGAGAGGGACTGGGAAGGAGCCCCCGGGGAGGGGTGGTAGGGGATGGTGGGCGTGGGGGGAGACCGGTGGTAGGGGGGGAGGTGCGTGGGTTGGGCCGGGCTCTTCAGAGGCGTCGCGCTCCTGCACGCGGCGGCGGGGAGACAAAGGCAGCTGCGTCACGACACGGTGGCTTGCGTGCGTTCCCAGAAATCCACGTGGCCCGTGGGATGTGTAAAATATACTTTTCAGACACATGTAAAAAAGGCATATATAGTCCGCTTATTTATCTAGCCGCTATATAAACCATCACCATGACCCAACGCCCATTGCGTTTTGATTGTGGGTAGTGGATTTAACGTGCGATCGATTTCATGAAGTGGGTGCTCGAGGCCTGTGCCGGGGACTCCACTCCCGATATTCCTCCCGCGGTATATGGGGCCAGAAAAACCACAAGAAGTCTCCTAACCCCTGACCCCAGGCTCAAGGCTACGGCTTCCTCATGTCGTTTGCCCGGTCAGTGACGGTTCAACCCATCTCACCGAGCTCCACACAGGCACCGGCTCCCAGCGGAGTTGGGTGGCGTGCGTTCCCGGTGGGTCGGAGGGGTGGTTTGGGGAGGGGGGGTGGCGCACCTCCTGGCGGCGCTGTTGTGGGGGTGGCCGTTGGCGGTCGGCGCCGCGGGCGACTGGGCGGGGGCGACGTGCGGGAGGCTCCCGGCCGTGGGCGTCGCCGGCGGTTGGCCGGCGGTGCCGTTACGGGGGTGGTGGTCGGTGGCCGATGCGGTGGGGGGCCGGCCGGCGGAGCGAGGGGCGGCCGCGCTGCTCGGCGGCGGCGGTGGCGGCACCACCGCGTGGCGGCCGACCGACGCGTCGCGGTGCCTCTCCCGGCTCCTCTCTAGCCCGGACACGGGCGGCGGACTGGCGCTCTCCGCTACCGCTTCCGTCTTCTCATCCGTCAGCACGGCAATGCTGAAGCCAGACACTGAGAATGATAACACGCATGCACGCACACGCCTACATTAAAATGGCACTTTTACTTTAAACGAATTCTCAAAAGGAGCAGTGCGAGGGAAGAAGCAGAAAGCGGAGTGAGGTGACCCGCTGTGTGGTGAGTTGTTGTGACCTGCAGCGTGGTAGCTGAACACGGTGGAGGAATCAATAACTGAAGGTCATGGGCACAGTAACCATGGTAGTAGTGGCAAAAGAGTGATAAGGAGGCGACTGACCTCTGGCGAGCGAGTGACTGCAGTGTATTGGCGAGTGCGATCGCACGGCACAGACAGAGTGTTCCCCTGCGGACGTCCGTCCCTCGCGACGCTGTCCCCGCGAGCGGCCGACGATCCCGCCGTGGCACCGCAATCGCGCGCGAGCCCGTCCGTCAATCCGCCATTCACAGCGGGCGGGGCCACACGCGCGCTTATGCCGCCCGAGATAAGGGGCGGACACATACGGGGCGAACGTAGATAGCGCGCAGGAGAGCGCCGTCAGCACCGGGAGAGATACGAGAGAGAGAGAGAGAGGTCGCGGTTTTATCGTCCCCGCTGGGAGATCGGCGGTGGCGGTGTGGCGACGCCTGCGAGGAGGACGCGTCGCACGCAACGGGATGCAAATCAGAGGGGAGGTTGCGAGCGGCGCGACGAGGGGAGAGGCCGCGCGACACGGACAAATCCTGAAAATGAGGCACGCGAGGGCCCCGCGTTCAAGCCGCAAGTGTCTCTTGCTCCGCCGGGTGAGAATTCGAGAGACGAGTCTGAAATGCAAGAGTGACCTGGGTGACCATAATACTACCTGTCACTGGCCCCTTGAGGTTTTGGGCCTGCGCTCAGCAACTGTCATGAGTCCACGGTGCTGCCTGACCACCACCAATGTCTGCACTAAACACCAACACAAAGCAACAGCCGCACGCCGGCAAACTACAGCCAAACGCCGGCTTCCATCGGGCCCGGAGGCACAGCGCCACCCCCCCCCCGATGACGCCGACCTCACAGCGGAACAAAATAACGAGAGCTCGTGGAAAATGCCGGTCGAGAGGTCACGGGCCGGGTCCGTGACCGCGGGACCCCAGTTCCTCTCAGGTTGTTCCCGCACAAGCGGCGGTCGAGGAGGCAAGAAAGGACGAGGATACGATGAGGAGGACGGGAAAATGAAATGCTCCGAATTCTCACGCCATTTGTCAGGATCGCGCCGTGCCCCCCACGCTCAGCTCCCCCCCCCCCCACCCCAAAGTGCGTCCGAGCCGCCGTTCCGTTTCATCAGAGCACGGCGGCGGCACCGCGTGTGGTGGGACGGGCTCGCCGGGAGGGAGCTGTCGCAGCGGGCGATAATAAGAGCAATTCCCGGTAATTGCAGGAAGCCTTGTGACTTATCTTGCAGGACGAGCACAAAGCAGCGGCGGCGGAGGCGGCAAAGCGCACCGCGGGAAACGTACTTAGAGCGCGTGCCGCACAAGCTCCATGGGACGCCTCTGTGTTGGCACACTCGAGGACAAACAATCAGCCGTGCTCATTCTCAGAGGCACTGTCCCGTTTATAATCGGCGTGGCTGGATTCAAAACATAACCACCGACTAAACAAAGGGAACGGACTGATTGAATTATGGCATTTGTCATTTAAAAAAAACAACGACAAAGGCATCGACACACATGCTGCACTTGACGCCAAAGAAAATCTGCGTTGGCAATCGCTCGCCTGTGCTCCGCATCTATACAACAAAAAGCACGGAAGATGGATGGGAGTTGCAAACCGCGCTGCCCTCCGTACGATCGTTACGGCTCCGAGGAAAGAGCGCCGATCCTTGCGGGCAGCTCGTGGCGGCGGTCGGCAAAACGCCGCAAATTCATTCCCCGGTCCTCGGGGGAGGGCGCTTTAAACTCTCCCTGCAGCCAACCGTGTTTGCTTTGGAAAACGGCGCACGAGAGGACGCAGAGCGCGTTTCGCACACTCGGGTAACAAATAAAAAAAAATTACTGCAAATTGAACCCTAAAGGAGGCCTGTGTTGCTGCAATGACAGGACCACCGGGCATCCAGATCAATTAGAGCGTTTGTGGTGGGGTGGGGGTGGGGGTTGAGACGAACCCCGATGTTTGGTTTGGCAGGAGCCAGGGCTGCTGAAAGGGAGCAGTCACAGCCTGCCAAGCGCAGAGACGAGGGCTCTGTGTGGCTTTTTTTCTGTTTTTCAGGGAAGTCCCTTGCTCCCAACACTTACTTGACACTGTGGCAAATTTACTTGGGCAGCTTTGGACTAATTCATAGCGACAGTGAAATTCTGAAGAGGCCGTCTGGCGAGGCAGGAAAATACACAAAAGGGAAAAAAAGGCCACAGCTTAGGGAAATCAAAGCCTTGGAACGCTGCCCGCTCACGCATACGCGAGCAATTAAGGCTCGTTCAGTTGCACAGAAAGGCAGATTAAGCGCATGCTCGCGGCGCGTGTGTGAGCGCACGTGTGTGAGCGAGCGTGCGAGCCGCACCTCCAAATCTAAGGCCCTTTCAAACACGCACCTGCACGCCGCTGTAAATATCATTTCCTTTCAAACGACGCCGTATAAACACCGTGCACGCACGGCCAAGTCGTCAGCGAAATTGAGGCGGCAATTATCGCTGAGGCTCGGACGGTCGCAAGACCGCCGACTCGGCCCCGGCCCATCGGCGCAAGCGACGACGACGACGGGCGAGCTGGGCGGGAGGGTACTGTTGCCGGGCCCTTCCACCGCCCACTCAACGCTTGCACGATTCCCGTTCCCCCGGAGCGGTGGCTGCCGTGCAGCCCCGCGGGTATTAACCCAGTGGGGGAAATGTGCCCTCGACCGCAACGCGGCCAAAATAAACAATAACGTAGCACCTTTGGTGTTTGCGCCGTTCTTACAGCGCGAGGATACTTGCGAAGGCGCTTGCCGTACGTCACGCAGTCTGCAGTAGTTTCACAGCCGGGGGGCATGCTGCTGTTCGTCATCCCAATTTAATTATTTTCAGGTAATTTTCTTTAAATATGGCAAACTGCAACCGTGACGACGGCACACACGATGGCCTATTCTTTCCGATTGACGTCACAGGATCCTCAACGTCCAATGCAAAGCAGACCGCGGGTAGTATTTAACGGTTAATATGCCGCAGCATTAACCAGGACATCCTCCCGGCAAACGAGCTGTTGCGGGGCCGCTTCGCCACCCCATAAGCCGTGGAACACAGTTTCTACATGGCAAACACAAGTGAGTTAGGGGAAAACCTATTTTTAAACGAGGTAATTGTATAAGTGGCACCTCCGATTATCACGGTTGGCCACGTACGGTGCGAAAGAAGTTCAGCGTACATAATTAGCGATTTAACGGTGCACCGATGGGATGTGTAAAGAACACTTTTGTATTTTCTCCGCAGAGGGAGAGACGTGTGATGGAGGCGTTTTCCTGCTCGTCTCTGTTGCTGGCATAACTCACGAGCCTTGCCATCTCAGGTGGCACGAAGAAGGGCGCAGTGGTCGCGTCCTGAACGAGCGGCAACAGTGACCTGGTTTCCTATTTCTGACTCGAGCGCTTTTCTGCGTAGAGTTTGTATGTTCTCCCCCTGTCCTTGATTGGGTTTCCTGCGAGGCTCTCCGGCTCCTCGCCTATCTAAACACGTACAATGTCGTTGGTCAAACATCCCCATTGCAGAGCTTTCGCACTGAGTGTGGCTTTCCTGGGTCGATGAGTAATTTATTATCATAAATATTATAAACTCTTCTTATTCTCATGAATGGCATCAATGAAAGAATAGAAAGTCGTCAGAAGGTGAGAGAACTGGACCGGACGCATTCTACGAGGGCACGGGTTGATGATGAAGGACGTTACAGAAGGAGGATCAGAAGGGATTAGAGCGAGAGGAAGGCCGAGGATCGGGGCGCTGCAGGAGCTCACGGAAGGGTGCATTTGTAGCAATGAGGAGGAGGGCAGCGAACAGACAGGCCCCGGCGTTAAGGGGGAACGTGAACGAAGCGACGTGCGAGCTCTGAGCGGCGTCTCCCCTTCGTGCGTGGAAGAGCGCCGGCGCGCGTTCCGCACGAAGGCGCCGCGAGCGCCGCCCCCCCCCCCTCTCGCCTCCCCCCCCCCCCGGAGCCAAGCGGGCAGATGCAACGAGATGTCACTTCCAGATTGCATTCTCACGCACGTCAGCTGGCGGCCCGTTGTTGTGCTCGTCCGTCAGGGGATGCGTTGAAAAAACAGCCGCCACATGGCACCCGCTCGACGCTCCGCGGGCGACGTCGAGGGGTCGCGAGCTCCTGGCGCGTACGGATGCGAGGCCGCGTGGAATTTCGACGTCGCGCAGGCCGCGCGCGCGAGCGTCCCAGCTGGGTGGCGACTCATTAACGCGGTTTCGCCAGCGACCGTGACCGCGAAAGGCGGCTCCTCGTGCGATTGGACACCCCGAGGGCACGCTGTAATTGGCGCGCTATCGTGCGGCGAATGCGCGAGCTCTCGTAACAATTCCCGATTGCGCCAGGAGGGAAGGTGCGCGCGAGTTCCCGTGCGCTCGCACAACGTGCACAACCACACGCCCGCTGTTTTGGCAACGATGACTGTCGGCCGCCAAAGTGGCAGGAGACGGTCGATTAAACCGTTGATCTTGCGGTAATGTGCGGTAATTGGTCGCGACCTTTTCAGGACACACGGAATTTTAAATAGACGCACGCATCCTGGAAGGTGCTGACCATTGCTCTTTGAGACTGCCGGTTTACCTGACCCCTGACACCAAGGTTGAAGGTCATTGGCCCTTAAACAGCAATGAGAGCGGCCGCACAGAGCCATCACAGCTACCCGCTGTGTGTAAAAGCAACACTCGCCTTCAACATAAACCAACAAACAACACTCCTCCTGCCCTTATCTCTCCACATAATAAATTACAGTAAAACCTTGGATTGCGAGTAACTTGGTCTGCGAGTGTTTTGCAAGACGAGCAAAATTTTTTAAGAAATATTAATTTGATAAACGAGCGAGGTCTTGCAATACGAG